TGCTTCAGGGAATGAGGGATGTGCTACCTTTAGGCTAACGTTAAATGGAGAAGTGTCCTCATTGTCATCCTCGGAAAGGTCAGATTCTGCTTCATTTACTGTTGCGAAAACGAATTCAGGAACAACCCTCTCTTTTTTCTTATCATAAAGTACATCCATCACAGCCAGATGGAGACCATGCGCGTAGCAGAGCTGTTGCAGTGGACCAATAATGTGACCCAATTTTACCATCATTGCGCACCCATCAGTTGTTACACACACAATATCAGTTTCGAAGTCGATTCCAAACTCCAAGAGCTTAGCACCAATGACATATTTGCATTGTTCAGAGGAAAATACTCCAGATATTCGAGTCACAAGCCAAGATTCCACACCTTGGTACGGCTATGAATATTAATGTTCAGTTAACGCTTGCTTCTGATTGACGTCCATTCATCCAGCGTAAGGCTATAAAGTTGCCCCTTTTCTTTTTCCATCTGAAGCTCTCGAACGACCTTCTCACGAAATGTGTCCGCATAACGACACACTTTAATCTTAATGGTCTCTGCGGAGAGAGGAATTTCATGTCCAAGAGCATTGAGGCACTTGTGTAGATCCTTAGATGTGACAAAAACGGAGAATGGCAATCCGTCGAGAGCTATCATTCTAGCTAGCACAGCATCAGTCGATCGATCGATTGAAACAGACGAAAAATGATCGAGAATTGATATTTTGGGGGTCTTGTTTGCAGGGGTCTGTGTATCAACTTCGTCTTTAACTTTTCTCTCCGAAGTTTCGATTCCGTGGACCGCCTTCTGGTGTACATACAGCCCTTTTGTAGACCCACCGACGCATTTCAAAATCCTTTTGCACGCTATACACTGTGCATTTTGGCCAGATCCGTCTCGTAGGTAATAGCACCAGATTCCTTCTGATTTAAAAGGAATAAACTTCGCCATCACAATCAAGAAGTGATAAGCTTACCAAAATGTCCGACGCGTTTTCTATTGAGAAATAACAAGGTCCGATAATATTGTTTTAGAGACTTTGTTTTATGTTCGTATAAGTTGAAAACTACTTTAGGTTGATGCTTGATAGTGAGGAAGCATTTAATGAAATGACATTAAATAAATTTAATTTAAATTAAATGACAAAAAGGCTAGCGAGGGTTTCACAAAATGAACAGCAGAGCAGCGCGTTCATGATGACCCATGCCTACAGAGTACAGGATGGAGAGTATAAACATAGATTAAAAAAATATATATAAAACAATTTGGAGCCCAGATAAGAGGTTAGTGGCGGGTCCATGTTACACGCAGGTCCGCCACAAAAATAAAGGGATGCCGCTACTATCTAAGAAGCCACTATTTGCATGTGTCAACAAAATAATTTCAAATCTCTCAGAAAAAAAAAAAAAAGACTCGAAATGCAGCTGTATAAACAAAACGTCAAAAGTGTGCTATCGCATCATCTGTTTGATTATCAAAATGCTAGATAATAAAAATATATTTTTGCGCTGGTTTTCATGCACAAACCAGTAATCCCGGGATTTTTCGAGCGGAATCCCGGGATCATTATTTGACTCCGGGATCCCGGGAAACGGGATCCCGGGATTGGAGGCCCTACTCGCGAGCCGCAGTTTACCGACCCCTAGTTTAGACCATCCTTCCACGGACCTCCCGTTGATTTTTATTAAATTGTGAAGTCAGGATGAACATGTAATATAAATAAAGTTTATTTTTGTATTAGATAAATTTCCGTGTCATTCTGAAATTTGTTTATCCTAATATTTGTATGTTACAATACCTATTTGTGAATATATATAGCATGTTTAGAAATTTAATTGTCATCTAACGATAAAAATTGTAACAATCAAATTTACTGGCAATGTGTTTCTTTTTAATATAATATCATCAAATAATATCTCTCTACATACCTTACTGCAATGATATAAGTAAAAGTCAAGGCCTCTTATTCAATAACTTTTATCATTATCATTGCAGTAAGGTCTGTAGATATAATATTTGAAGATTAACAAGAAACATATTTCCAGTAAATTTAATTATTGTTGTCGTGTCCAATGAAGAGCCTCAGATGTCTCCATACATCTCTATCACAGCAGTAGCAATGTCTTCTATCTTGGGTTTGCAAAGTTGCTGTTCTGGGTCCATGTCAATTTTCTGTTGTTGTCGTGTCCAATGAAGAGCCTCAGATGTCTCCATACATCTCTATTACAACAGTCGAAATGTTCACTATCTTGGGCGTGTGAAGCTGCTGCATCCATGTCAATTTTCTACAAGGCTGCGGCCATTGCTGGGCATAAGAATATGTGGATAGGTGTTAGTTCCACACTAGGATAGTTGTTTAAATTTTAATTGTTACAAATATATTTGTTAAATGTTTATAATGCGCTAAAGTTTGGAGAATAAGGAGTGCGAATTGATGAGAAAGTCTCAATATACAATGGATTCAGTGGATGTCTGGAGTGCTGTCAGCTTAATTGACGGTGGACAAGACAGATGGACAACCTCCTTCCTTCTCTCTTGGGAACACAGTAACCGCTTGGCAATACCAACGGAATCTGGATGACAATCTTATTCCCAAGAACACCATTACCAGCAACAACTTCAATTATAAACATTTTTTTTTCTAGAATAATATCTGTATTAATCAATTCATTGCAAGATAAAGGCTATAAATATGTTTATAAAAATTGTTTTCCTCGAATGCATACAATATTGCCACGTGGAAAATTAGGGAAGACCAACTTCGGGATGAGACAGCAATTTATTTCAGGCAAGAACAAACTATGAAGGATAAACAAAAGATAAGGAATGAGGGAAGTTTACAGAGTAGCAAAATATAGACATAAAAATTGACCACTCTGTTAATAAAAATATTAAAATTAATAAAAACTTTGTTACAATATTTTACATTTTGAGTTCATTTAACTAAATTTTCATACCAACCCTTTATACATATTTCAATTGTATAATACACGGCTATGATTATAAAACGACGTTTAACAAGTTTTACCGTAAATGTTCTGTAAAAAGAAATATTTGCGGTAAAACTTGTTAAACGTCGTTCTATATTTCAATTGTGTTGATATTTTTTCTCTTTTCATCTAATTAACTTGCATACTAATTCTTATACATATTTCAATTGTATAATACAATATAATGCGGCTATGATTATAAAACGACGTTTAACAAGTTTAAATGTTCTGTAAAAAGAAATATTTGCGGTAAAACTTGTTAAACGTCGTTCTATATTTCAATTGTGTTGATATTTTTTCTCTTTTCATCTAATTAACTTGCATACTAATTCTTATACATATTTCAATTGTATAATACAATATAATGCGGCTATGATTATAAAACGACGTTTAACAAGTTTAAATGTTCTGTAAAAAGAAATATTTGCGGTAAAACTTGTTAAACGTCGTTCTATATTTCAATTGTGTTGATATTTTTTCTCTTTTCATCTAATTAACTTGCATACTAATTCTTATACATATTTCAAATATCTTTTATTTCAATGTTTAGTTTATCTTTTAAGTGCAAGTGTCCCTAGATAGACATAACGCTCTAAGTCGAAGTAAAATAATAAAAGCTATAAATATGAATTTATTTGTGATTTTGCGGAAGAACATTGCTCGATGCATTCATTGTATCGTCAATTTAGATTGGTTTATACAGTCTCAGAAGTATATGTCCATAGTTTGTGTAAAACACCAATTTACTGTATACAATAACAAGTGCAGGGTATATGAGCAATTTGATACAATAGTGAAGTAAAACGACATTTGAAAATTATCCCGCATGAGTTTATTTTCAACGAAAAATCGAAATGTATTTTAAGGAGAAATAACGATTATTTCTAACCTTAGGGATGAGGTATGAATAGATAAATTGTGAAGAGTAAACGGAAGAATAAACGGAAAAATAAAGTTCCAGGGATAGGAATCCTGGACGTGTCCCTGGACACTTTATTTTTCCGTTTATCATTACTCTTCACAATTTATCTATTCATACCTCATCCCTAAGGTTAGAAATAATCGTTATTTCTCCTTAAAATACATTTCGATTTTTCGTTGAAAATAAACACATGCGGGATAATTTTCAAATGTCGTTTTACAATCACAAGCCGCACTATATTGTATTTACAATAGTGAAGTGGTCTGAAGATTTTTCTTTTGTTAATCCCTAATACACGTGGTTCAGGTCATGGTAATCATGGTGGGTAGGAGTAGGCGACTGTTTTTACTGTAAGTGCACCACATGTCTACACATGTGAAAAGCAGTTTGACTTTGCACTTACAAATGTGCCAGAGCCCCATTTGGTTACTTGCACTCGCTGGTGGGATTGGACTTTGTAAGAAACGGGGGCCATTGGAGCATTTTTTGTAAGAATCACACACACACAAAAAAGCCTTTATTAGGGACTTGGCCCATACAGATTCTCCTATTTGGGTAAGGTAATAATCATCTTGTGTTATTTACATAGAAATTGAATTGGCTTTACTCTTCGTCTCAAAGTCATTCACTTGTTGACTGGTCCTTACATAATGATGATCTAAAAAAATTATAGTAAGCTATTGCCTTAGATTTGTTTGTTGATATTTTTGAAATCAATACGTAGGGTGAAGTTTTGGTGCATTTAATTTGTTGATATAGGGCCTTCTCCTCTCTGCATCAAGGGCTGTACAATTAAGCAGGTAATGGGGGAGTTATTCAGTAATTTCCTTGTCACACAGTATGCATATTAAATTTTTGACCTCAAACGTCAGAGCAATGTGGGAATCAAACCCGGGTCGTAGCGGTCGAAAACCAAAGGTTTAGATCATCCTTCCACCGACCCCTGGTCTGGAGATTAAAATGGCGAAACTATTCATGACGACATAGAAATTATTTAGCACGAAACACTTCCAATACTGCCTCTCTTAGAAAGATAAAACCCAGCATCTTCATCTTTTTATTCCAATACTTCGACCTGTTAGCAGGTAGCAAAAAAAAAGATGGAGATGCAGGGTATTGATCCAGGTACCCCTCGTTTGCTAGGCGAGCGCTCTACCATCTGAGCTACATACACAACACTATAAATTCTATTATGAAAGTTATATGGAGAATAATTCTCTTCAACGAAACTATTTATGTGACGTAAATCTCTCCCTTCACTGAAATTATAAATGGCGAAAATCTCTCCCCTCATTGAAATTATTTATGACGAAAAACTCTATAACGAATCTATTTGTTTCTGTGAAACAACTTCGGCCAGTTAGAGTTTTTTATTTTCTCAACGTTTCGACAAAAATCGTTTGTCTTCGTCAGGAGAAATATAAAAATAAAGCCTTTGGCATGGCGTTAAAAATTGTTCTATAAAACTTTAACTGGCCGAAGTGTCTATTTTTTTTTACGGAAATATGAATGCCGGCCAGACAACCTCGTATCTTCAGGAAACTATTTATGGAGAATAATTCTCTTTAACGAAACTATTTATGACGAAAAACTCTATAACGAAACTATTTATAAAACGACATTTGAAAATTATCCCGCATGTGTTTCTTTTGAACGAAAAATCAAAATGTATCTTAAGGAGAAATAACGATTATTTCTAACCTTAGGGATGAAGTATGAAAGGATGAATTGTGAAGAGTAATGATAAACGGAAAAATAAAAGTGTCTAGGGATGGGAATCGAACCCATAGTGTTCCGCTTACCGGGCAGATGCCATGTCCACTAGGCTACCCTGGATATATTTTTCCGTTTGTAAATAATACATAAAGTAATTTATAATATAATATAATGCGGCTTGTGATTGTAAAACGACATTTGAAAATTATCCCTTATGACGAAAGTCTCCTCACCGAAATTCTTCATGACAAAATTTTATAAAGAAATTATTTCTGACAAAAATTCTATATCGAAACTATAAAAAATTCTATAATGAATTATCTATCACGAAAACTCTTTAGAATATATGTTGTGTGTGTGAATCTATTTGTGACTAAAATCTCTCTATAAAAATTATTGATCCATTCCTTATGGAATTTAGCTCTATTTGCATAAATATCGGTCTCAGAAAAAAAAAAAAAAAAAACTTCGAAAGGTTTTAGAGGTTTTCATAATGTACTTTTTTAATTCGCCGACTGAAATAGTCTTCCCTCAGGCAAAAACTCGAAAATGCTAATTACCCTCTCATCACACTTATTTATTAGACATATTTAATAATAAATCTAATATATTTGATAAACACAGCTTTGCACTAAACATTTTCAGAATTCTTTAGTTAAAACTTATTTTTCCTCTAGCCGTTGTATAATTGGAAGTGGTAATAAGGCAAGCTAACAAGCACCATCAGTTTGGATAGAAAGTTTTCCCATCGAAGAAACAAATAGGAAAATATCAATTTGAATTGTAAATAAATTCTGATATTCCGTTATACCCGAGGCCATTTTGGAAAAAAAGTTTACAACGGTTGTTCTCAGCAGTTTTCTATTAAATTTAATGAAGAACGGTGGAGAGAATATGTTATTGGGATATGGGGAATTGTTATCGATCTTGGATAAGTCGGTCATTGCTGGTGTTAGTAGTGGGATCCTTTAATGACTTCTTTCAGAGATATTACATTATAGAATCCACTGTGACATTGGGGTTAGTGAACTAATAGTACGAAGGTTGTCCGTAAAATAAGTTCCACAGAGGTTTTTCATACAGAAAAACAGGTTTATTTGCCCTGAACTATGCATTTTCGAAAATATCAGACTTTTTTCATTTTTCTACATATTCCCCGTTTCGTTCGACGCATATTTGCATTCGGTATACCCACTTATGGAACCCAGAGTCAAAGAACTCTGCCGCCTGGCCTCGTAGAAAGCCTAAAACCGCTTCTTTCAACTCGTTATCGTCCTGGAATTGGGTTCCTACCAGGTTTTTTTTCAAATCGCGGAAGAAATGGAAGTCAGTAGGAGCTACGTCCGGGCTGTAAGGTGGGTGTGACACCAATTCCCATTCAAATTCTTCAATGAGGGCAGTGGTTTGATGGGCGGTGTGCGGCTGAGCGTTGTCGTGGTGGACACGCACCCCTTTGATTAACATCCCTCTCCTCTTGTTCTGAATCGCGCGTCGAAGTTGTTTTAAGGTCTCACAGTACCGGTCGAAATTGATTGTTGTACCCTGACGCATAAAGTCGCAAAACAATAGGCTCTTTCGGTTCCAAAAGACGGTAGCCATAATTTTCCCGGCAGAAAGTGTTTGTTTAAACTTTAGAGGTTTCGGCGAAGAAATGTGCTTCCACTGCTTGGATTGCTCCTTTGTCTCCGGTGTGGTGTACCCAGGTCACATCACCAGTAACGATCGAATCCAAGAATTCCTCTCCGTCAGTTTTGTGGCAATCGAAAAATTTCTGGGCCGCATCAACCCTCTGCCGTTTATGGTCTTCAGTCAGCATTTTCGGAACCCATATTGCGCAGACCTTTGAATACCCTAAATGTTCACGCAAAATCTTGTCGATGGTGGTTTTACTGACATCAGGAACCAAATCGCAGAGCTTCCGTACAGTAATCCGTCGATCTTCAAGCATTGCCGCTTCGACTTTGGCAATGGTTTCGTCCGAAACCGATGGCCGTCCAGCACGCGGTTCATCGTGGACGTCTGTTCGGCTGTTTTTAAATTCGCTGACCCATCTGCGCACCATCCCGGAACTCATACACCCTTCTTCATACACTTAACAGAGTTCAGTATGAATGTCCTTGGCCGAATTCTTCTTTGCGGCCAAAAATCGAATTACTGACCGTAATTCGCAGCTGGCGGGAGACACGAGGGGAAGCTCCATCACTAACGGCTGCTCAGCCAAAACTAAGCTTACCAGCGACGTGTCCTTGGTGGGAAATTGGAGTGGGGAGAACAAGTTACGAGACCGTGCAGTCGTCTCGAGCCTAAAAGCGATCCTCATTACAGTGGTGCCCCGTGGAACTTATTTAACGGACAACCCTCGTATAAATCGTAAATATTAGCTACGACCCATGATCGAATCCCGCATTGGAAACCTTTTTTTTTTTCTGAAGAAATATTGCTTCAATGACTCCCGATTCTTACAAAAGCCTAACCTTACCAGTGAGTGCAAGTAACCAAAACGGGCTTCTATCACACTTTTATGTTGAAAACATCAGATGCTTTCACGGATAAGTTTCTTTTAAAAATATTAATTCAAATTTCTAACTTTCATGCCTCCAAAAGCTAGAGATTTGAAGTAAATTGTTCTAAAAGGAACACTTATTCATAGAAGCTTCTTGTTTTCACCTTATTATTGTTACGTCGTACCCAGACGCTATTCGTGTACTTTGTCTGATCAGTATGCCACAAAGATACACATGTGAGTTCGAAGGGATTGCAGTTAAAGCTAGCGCTTTATTGTATTTCACTTAACAGAAGGAATACAACAGTGAGACTTGCCTTCAACCTCCCCGTCAGAGGGATCCTTGACGTCGTGGATGTCCTCTAGATCGCGTGTTATTGCTTTGTATTAATTCAGAAGTTATTCAATTTTATAAATGATAGTTCGAAACACACTATTATAGACGCGTATGATTCTTTTGAAAATTAAACAATTTCTACTGCCCTTACTGTAATGGAAAAATTAAAGGGAGGGCCTGGCTCATCAGTGGTGAACCCTCCCAGCGGTTTAGTCACTGATGAGCTAAGCCTTCCCTTCTTCTTCTTCTTTCTTATCTCCACTCAATCATATTAGGATGTCAAGCTTGTAAAGCTTGAGACTTTTGATGGTGTCTGTTGACAACCATCATGACTGGGTGAAGTAGAATGCGTCTGCCTTTCTCATTAAGACTGGAAACACTACTCAGTGACAGGCCACTGACTTAGCTCCAAAAGAAATGGCCGTCTCTGACATGAGGAACAGACACCATTTGCAGCCGTTTCTAACATCCTTAAATTTTTCCATTACAGTAAGAACAGTAGAAATTGTTTAAATTTCAAAAAAGAATCGTACGCATCTATAATAGTTTTGAATATTCATAACTGATGGCGCGCTGATGCATCATAATATAAATGATAGTGAATTTTTGGTAAAAGAATTACTAGGAGAGAATGGGAAAACAGAATCCCTATCTCACAGAGGGCAACAAAGGTTTACATCGAGGTCACGTCAGCTCGTGGTTAGGCTTAACGACACCCTAACTCCATTAAGTAAAACGTTGGGCTTTCCTTACCACCGCAGTCTTTTTGCAACCTTCTTGTTGGTCTACCTTTTTCTTCTTTCTTTCTTTTTTTTTCTGGTCGAGAGAACATCGCCTAACTAATAAAGATCACAGTAATGAAGATTGAAACAATAGATAGTACCATTTTTTATTTTAAAACAATTTTATACTATATTTATTGCTTCAAATAAAATACACTTCGGCCAGTAAATCTTTTTATTGTCTCTATAAAAATATTTAATGGCCGAAGTATCTTTTATTTGAAGAATTATGAATGCCGGCCAGGTAGCCTCTATCTTTACGAAAATCAAGATCAATTTATAGGTCCCGAGGTATTCAAGATGGCAACTAGAGAAGACTATGATCAAGTATGCAAGGGCAAAACATTCTTTATATTTTAATCACCGTATAGAGACAATAAAAATATTTACTGTCCGAAGTGTCTTTCATTTGAAGAAGTATGGTTGCCGGCCAGGCAGCCTCTATCTTTACGGTATCTTTATTGTGATGATAAAATATTGAGATATCCTGGCTTATTCAGTGGTGAACTCTCCCAGCGGTTTTACCAGTTTAATATGCTTTATCGTTTAATATGCTTATTTTTCTCATTTTGGTAAATGGCTGTTCCAGTTATTGTGTTCTACATTCATAGACAAAACTTAAGGAAGTTGTACCTTTTAGCATGTATATCGGTATTTAAACAATAACTTTAAGATCATTATAAAATAAATGAAGCTTCCAGGGTTAAGTTTCTTGTACAATTTTTTTATTATTTTAAAGCTTTCGGCCTTGTCAGTCTTTCAACAGGATTATCACTTTAACAACTTAATAATAAATACATTTTTTATATACACTTTAAGAGTTATTTGATACAC